AGATAAATATCAATGTGACCTTTACCAATGACTGAAATATGTTCTGAAGGGGGTTTTCCACCGATAAAAAATGTGTAAAAGGGAGCTGTTGTCACCATTTGTTCAGCTCAGGCTCACCGGTGACCAGCTCAGTGTGAATGTGTTGTGTTTAGCAATAAACACACTGGACCCGGACTCAGCTGCCTCTGCCTGAATTTTTTGATCTTTGTTTGAGACTTTTTCTGCTTTTTAAGAACTTTGAATTTTTATAAAACTTAGCTTCAATTTTAAGTCGTCAAGAAGAGAATTATAGACGACACCACCAGCAGTGCTAGTACCCCTGGTTGGAAATCACTGCTCCATATAGCCAAGAACAAACCAACACCTCACCTGTCACCTGATGTATTATGCTGTGGCTGATCTGCTACTAATGTCATCTTCCAAGCCTACTAGGTTGTTTAGGGAGGCTGCATAGACTTCAGGTTGCCTCTCCCTGGCTTGGATCTCACTGTGTTTCTAGGCCACACAGCTGATTGCCTGTCTATCAGCAATTCAATGGCAGATCCATGGTGCCGACTGTAAACCCGGTGTTTTCTCTGGGTCGGCCTTCCTGGATACTGGCTCCTGAGCTCTGCTCCCGATCTCTTTGCTATGAATGTGTGACAAGGCTGGTGCCACATTGTTCTTGGCTTTAATGTAGTATGTGGTGGCTAGCCACAATCTAGCAGCCTGATAATGCTTTGCTTGTCCCAGAGTCATAACTTCAGCTTCTCTAATGAGAGTTGCGGGGTCGTGGTGGGGCTCTGGAAATCACTCTACCTTTGAGCTGTCCTCTATTCCTTTTTCTGAATGCTTCTAATTCGTATGCTTAAAATTCTGAACGATTGTTCTCATATACTGCCCTCCTAAACCTAATCCAGCTTTCATTATAGAAATACATGAGCTTCTCGTCTTACCATGTTGCCCTTCAACACATGATGTGATTGTTGGAGATTTGAACATGCTGGCATCGTATCGGCATTCCTTCCTGCCAACCTGCTGCAGAGTTCCTACCGCTCCTTGATTCCCTTGAGTTTTTTTTTTTTTTACAGTGTCCTGTCTGGCAAGGTGGCAATAAGAATAATTGTCTTGATGCCAAAAAGAGCCCAACAGATTTTACTTTCACAAGTGTAGCGGTATCGCAATTGCCATACCGCTCCACTTGTTTCATGTATATAAATTGCTTTATTATAATTATGCAGGGAGTTTTACACTTCATATGGACACTGCAATGTACGTAGAGCACAAAAACAGAAGAAGAAGAAGGAAAAAGAAAAAAAACAGGACAAAAGATGAAAGAAAGAGGAGATAGGAAGGAGACAAGAAGAAGAAGAAGG